GCAAAGCACGCTACGCCACTGATTTTTAACGAAGAACAAATTCCCAGGGATACTTTGAGAAGTACCTAGTATCGAAATAGGAAAGCAATTTTGTGTGAAACTAAAATCTACCCTCTCTCGGGCGTACTGAGTCGGTTTTAATGGCCTACTTGACCTACGGTGATGGTTTTTTTGGATTCGAGAAGTTTGAATGTACTGATTTCATCGTCTATTCTAAACTTTAATTTTTCTTCAATCAGTGAATCTCAGTACGTTTCACTTTTTTTTAGTGAGGTTTTACTATGAGACAACTTGTTTCAAAGAATTCTAGTTCTTACCTCACTGGTGGATGATACACGCCGACGGATTAAGAAAAAAATGTGGTACGTCCGAACGCAATGTCAAAAAACACGGTGATAGACGTCGTGGGACGTGCGGTGACGAGTAATACAGTTTCTTCCAACACAGCTTTTGGTATAAGATGCTCACAATATTTTATTGAAAATTGTAGAAACTAGATTATATTCTGAGCAATTTCACTGAAAAATTCACAAATTTTCCGGAGATTTCATTTTACAAGAAGGAATTTTTCAACGTTTGTGCCCAAAGACATTAACGGAGTTCTTAGCACCTCATTTAGCAATACGAGGGCAGTGCGCTTAGCCTATTTCACAACACGGCGCAGATACGACTATTCGTCCTCGTGAGTGGCCCTCTTTGCCTACCCTTTGAGTTGAAGGCGATGTGAGGTAATCGTGTGGTTTGGTTTAGCTGAACACGCTATCGGATATCACTTTGCAAGTAAAAACCACGAGTTGGCTTCTGCTGGATCACCGCTTACCTGATTATGAGTTCATATGTTATAATAGATCAACCTCTCCGTGTTTACGTCTGCGTGCTGATTATTGAAATTTATACTCAAAGCTATAGACAAAGAAAAAATGAAGTGTTGCAATTGGTCGTAACGGGTGTTTGTTTTCGACTAAGGGGGAAAATGATGGTCCAATCTGTGTGGGGATTCTCTTGGGTTTTTAGTTAGGTCATTACTTGCTCTCACTGTCCATTGCAACTACCCTTTTTCACCAACAGGATAGCTTCAGTATTTCATTTGTCCCCTTTATCTACAGCTCTGCCTATCGATTTCTATAACCAGCCTGCTGGTGTAGATGCGGTCAGGCGTATGGTTAACAATGCCAGATATCTTATATTAACAGCTATATTTCCGAGGGATGAAGCCAAAAACCTAGCAATCGCTGACATTCTTTTACCGAAGCGTCAAAACTTTCACATAGGACACAGGAAATAAACAGTTTCGAGTTTAAAGTTTCTGCATTTCGCATGTAACGGGTTGAAATCAAGCTGGAGTTCGCAGAGGACAGTTATTTTTTGCAGAGGGAGAGAGAGAGAGAGAGGGTGCGGTGTGGGAGTTGTAGGGTTTTATGAGGCGTGGGTTGTAGATGAGGGTTTAATCGTTGGCGCTGGTGAAATAGAATCGTCTCCAAGCGTAAATTATTCATGAATAATTTCTGGGCGCAGGAATAATTCGTGAATCCTCGTATCTCCGGCCTAGCGTTCGATGCGAGCCATAATTTCGGGATTTTATCCCAGCCTCGCTCCTTCGCAGAGCGCTCCGCAAGGCCGCCATGTGGAACTAGAATACCTCGGTTTCCAATTTAAACCGTTTGCGAATCACGTAAAATTGGCACCAATGCCTCGCAGCTGTCATTAATGTCTTTAAAATTTTATCGCCTCCGTTTTTCATTCGCATTTCCCTAGTTTTCGCGCCTTTTTCCATCCGTAGCATAATTTCTATAGAAAACGGTTCAGATGAGATGCTATTTTCCCCCGGTATCTTTGATCATGAGTTTTTATCGGAAAGAAAAGCTTTGAGGCTCTTCTTTACGCTTAAAATGAAAGCTCAGGGACCCATCGATACTCCCTTCAGCGCTCTCACAGGGCAGCCATGCAAGCAGTGGCGTGGCGTGAATAATCGATTATCAATATCTCGCCATTTGAAGCTATGGTAAAGAATCGATTACTAAGGTGTTCGTTGCGAACACCCTGATAATCGATCTTTTTTCATAAGTTTAAATGGCACAACAATCGATTTATCGCAATTCGCGCCACGCCACTGCATGCAAGTTGGGGCAATCGATGCATGCCCCGCCCCACAGTGGAACGAGCTGAAAGAAGAGGTCGGACATAAAATTTGTGGCTAAAGTTTTAAAGTTCGATGTTTATTTTTTCTCAAATTTAATTACAAGAGGTGTTTCTTAATGAAAATTACACGAAAAAACCAGTGGAACCACTCTTAAACTTCTTTGTTTCAATATTTGCAAGTATAGGCTTTCAAAGTTTCCAGACTTTCGCGCCCGCGCAGCGTTCAAGTGTGCGCCCGTTCGAAGTTCGAAACTCTCAGCTTGAACTTGGCAGTGGCGTAGCGTGCTTTGCGATGTATCGATTGTTATGCCATTTAAATCTATGTAAAAGGATCGATAATCAGGGTGTTTGCAGCGAACACCTTAATAATCGATTATTTGCCGTAGGTTTAAATGGCAGAACAATCGATTTATCGCAAAGCACGCCACGCCACTGGAACTTGGAGAGGCGCACCTCTATATTCAACGACAAAAACTCGACTTCAACTGAATGACACTATGATTAGGTATTCTCCGGCCATTACGTGGCCCAACGCCCGATGAACAAGCGGTAATTTTTGTAAGTTCTGCGGCTATGTTTCCCTTCTATCTAATTGTTCGTAAATAATCGATTGGGGTAGGTCCGCTACCTCAGCTACAGAATCGATTTTTTTAATTAATTTAATTACATTAAGGAAAAAAATGCGTTACCAACGCGAGAGAATAGCTGCTGCGATAGACACTTCGTGTCAGCATGAAACGTGGGCTATATTAGGGTGGCCTCAGTCAAGGATTAGTGGGAAAAGTCACAGGGGAAAATTGGCATGGGAAAAGGGAGAAAAGTCACCGAAGTCAGGAGAAAATTGCGCTTCCGGAAGTGGTTTATTTTCATGTCTCACTTTGTATCTCTCAGTTCGTCTCTCTGCGTGATCGGAAAATGTTAAAATTATTACTTATCGTCTCAAAAGTCGAGAAATTTCCTCGAAAATTGATTTGGGAAAATCTTAGAGGATTCAGGGAAATCTTAACAACAGTTTTGCGGCCACCGTCTTATAATTCTAAAATTTGGTAACCATGTCTTCAGTCTGATATTACGACCTTTCAAAAGCTGAAACAATCTCCAAGTTGCTTTGTAGGTCGCTTGATAAAATTGGTCGCATGTAGCATGAAGGAACCAGCACGATTACAGTGTTCTAAAAATGTTGTTCCTTCACCGTTATCCAACAAATCTCTCAAGATAGCAAATAGTTTTCGCTTCCCACTAAAATTTTTTTTAATATTAAAGGAAAAATAACCGTGTAAATTTTAATACTGTGCTCATTTGGAGTATTTTTAAAAGGAAAGAAGAAGTTGAACGATTTTTAAAACACTGTAATCGCGGTGGTTGCTTTTCGCTAAATACCATCCAATTATGACGAAATGTCGAAAATTCGGTGCGTTGGATAGGTCATATTAATGAGTATCTGGCACCAGTGAACAATGGCGCACCAGCAAAGGCAAAAACGGAATGGTTCATGCGGAGGACAAAGTTTGATTATGAATGGGTCGTTTGTAAGTGACAGGGTGTGTTCGTGCGTGTGCAGTCAAGCACCGCAAGTAATGTTTGTCTAATTAAACTTCAAGTTGGGAAGTTATGCTTTTAACGACCAGTTTGGACTTCAACTCCCACGGAATATAATCGTCAAAAATTGAAGTAGCCTCTTGGAAGGAGAGGGTTCGGCCTAGACTACCAGATGATTTAGAAGAAGTTCATCTGAGTTTGAAGTTCAGCTTTGATACGTTTGCACCATGAAACTGCTATCGTCTCTGATACTATCAGCGTGCGCTAGCAAGGGAAGCGGTCCGGTCATGTCATCGTCGCAGTGAGGCGCGCCTTCAATTTTAGCTAGCGGCAATATGGGCGTCACCCGTGGTCGAATAGTTATCTCACAAGCGCCTTTGGTAGATGAAGTCAGGTACCACTGGCTATCCGCAAAAAAGACCAATTTACCTCCAATTGCAACGTTGCACACTTCCTCTTATGTTTTATTTTTCTTAATTTTCCTCTGAAAAACTGAAAAACAGTTTTCCTCTGAATTTTTCCCCCATTGTTTCGAATGTATTGATAGAAAATAACAAGGCAATATTTCGGTTGGTTCCTTTCTCTCTTAAAAAAAAAGCGAACATGCTCCAAGTATCTGAAACTTTTCAATTAATCTACATATTTTCTCCCTAAATTCGTGATTTTCCTGAAGGAAGATCGTAACTACATTTCAATGTTGCCAAACCCCTCGCGAATAACATTTCATCATGAGAATCTTGCGCATTTCTAACTGCAAATTACACTGATTTCTCTGATACTTTGTAAAAAGTAAACAAATATTGAACAAAAATTGCACAGGTAGGTATATCCTTGCAAAAAAAAAAAAAAAAAAAAAAAAAAAAAAAAAAAAAAAAAAAAAATTGTTTAAGTCGATTTGGCAACCTTGGAATGGAGTCATGTTTCTTTGTCCCGAAAACGACGAATTATGGTCAGCACGGGTATAGCGAGTCGAGAATTATGACGCGTAGTCTTACTGACACTGCAATAAACTCCGGCCGTGGAAGCCATACATAGACGTACCGTCCGCGTTCAAGGGCTCAGAGGCCGAAAGTTCCGGGCGTAGCAATCGAAGCTACGGCTCCAGCACCCATAACTTTCGGCCTCTGAGCCCGGAACGGACGATATATTTATATAGCCTGTAACTTTTTTTCCAGTAGAAGCGCTTTCACCACCTAGCGGCAACATGGGTCGCACACCCATGGTCGAATAGTTACTAGGTCACGAGTGTGTGTTGAATAAAACTTTGGTATTGAAATTGTTTTGAGCTATAGTAACGGCTCGTTTTTTGATGTGTGTTTCAGTCCGACGAAAGTGAACAGTAAACTAGAAATGTTAGGGAACGTAAAGAGTCAAATGTCGAGCTGGCTCGGCGGCGGGATTCAGCTACCGAGTCTCCGGAAGACGGAAACAGAAGCCGCAGCCGAAGAAGGCGGCGCCGAGGCCAAGCAGAGCGCCGAGGCAGCAACCGACGAAAAGGCCATCCGGGAGTCCATGGAGAAGGACGATGACAACTCCAGGTAAACAACTCATCCTCATGCCGAAATTGAACCGATTATTTTTCTAATCACGTAAGCGCCAAAATTGCGATTGCGAGAAAAACAGGAAAACCCGTTTTATTCGCTTTGTTGGCAATCCTCGAATTCAGCACTGGGGAAAAAAAAACAAATTGGATCTGGAGTCCAGACTCTTGAAAACATTGACCAAAAAAAATACTCTTGATTCAATTGGATTTTTGCTTGAATCAAAACGAAATCCGCTTAACTTAAGAGGCTTGATTCTTGATTTAAGCTAGATTCTGATTGAATCGAGAGTACTTTTTCTTGTCGATGTTTTTAAGAGTCTGGACTCAAGATCCAATGGGTTTTTTTTCCAGTGAGGGTGTCTGCAAGTCCGGAATTTCCAGAATGTCCGGATATAGTACTGATTTTTTAAGTGCGGTCCAGAAGTACTGAAAAAGTGCGGAATTTCCCAAGAATGTCCGGAACTTTTGTTGACGAAATTCGGACGAGAAATTCAAATTTTTGAAAATTTTCGAATTTCGTCAATTTTAGGTACTGATAAAGTACTGAATTTCTGTTATGAGGAGGTACTGAATTTCTTGGGAATAGACTGGAAAAGTACTGTAAAAGTACTGATTTTTGACCAGCCTGTTTTAGTAGATACCCTGGATTTCCAATAGATGCGCATGTTCTCTTAGGAAGCTGTTTTGAAATCAGACGTGATTGATTATATCAGAAAAAACAAAGAAAAAACAACCCCTTCGCCACCAAAATTGAGATTGGCGCTTACGTGTTTTGGAAAATAATCGGTTCAATCGAGTTTTTTTTTTATCATTATTCTTTTTCTTTCAAATTTTAATTCCTCTATGTTGCTTAGTCACGATTTTACAGTTTCAACTCTAACCGGAGTGCGTTAAGCTGAAAGGAACCAAGCCACATCAGTTATTGCCGAGTTTAATCGGGCAATTTCATTTTGAACAAGAGAAAGGTTGTGCGGATTTTTGTGCATTTAGTGAATTTTCTGCACTGGAAAAAAAACGCATTGGATCTAGAGTCCAGACTCTTGAAAACATTGACAAGAAAAATTACTCTTGATTCAATCGGATTTTCGCTTAAATCAGAACAAAATCTGCTTAAATTAAGCGGCTTGGTTCTTGATTTAAGCTAGATTCTGATTGAATCAAGAGTACTCTTTCTTGTCGATGTTTTTAAGAGTCTGGACTCTAGATCCAATGTGTTTTTTTCCAATGTGTATAAAACGAAGCAAATTCCTTGGAATCTGCTGAAACGTTCTCTAGTAAAAAAAAATTAAATTACTAAATTAAACTTATTGTTAGCAATAACTGATGCGGCTTAGTTCATATCTGCCAAACGCGATCCACTTATGCTGCCGTGCAAAGGAAATACATCTTATGAGCCTTAAGACGTTGCCACAAGCGTATTTTCGAGTAGAGCGTATCCGATCCAATGAATCCGTATTTTTTCGTGAATCGTATTCTAAGAATTGTTTTCACTAAAATTGCAAATTTTTATGTTTATTTCGTCACGTCATACATTTTCAGAGGTGCCTTTGTAAGGACATTTTACGAGAAAACCAACGGAATCTTTTCCAAATTTGTACTTTATTTTAAAACCAAGATTTTCAAGTTTCCTCTTCGACTTGCCCCACTGTGTGCCGGACCCAGCAGATATTCGCCTTTCGCCGGGTAAAGTCTAGGGTATGCTAGAGTCCCTTTATACTGAGAGTCAAGACAACACCCCCTCATGGAGTCACAAACGGGAATAAAGATTACAGAAATTGAACGTTTTTTGTAATCTTTGATCGGCCAATTCTTAAATTCCTTTCTCCGTTCCTTCTCTCATTCCGTTTGTTCCTTGCCGAACCCGTAATTCCCTGGTCCATTCCGGAATATAATCTTTGCAATCGGTGAAAATGTAATCTTTATTCCCGTTTGTGACACTGTGAAGGCCTAAAATACGGGAACCAATCAGATATGGATTCACATTGTCTTGACTCTCAGTATAAAGGGACTCTAGTCTAGGGTATGCCGCGTCGTTTTGTGGGGCTCGGGACCGTCTTCACTCGCCCGTGAGCAAGCTTATTCATCGCGGGGTAGGATGGGGGGGGGGGGGGGAGAAAAATGGTGACGTCAAGAGTTGACTGTCAACTGTCAGGGAGTCGTCAGCGGAGCCCATCTGCCTCCCGTGGATTTCGTGGTTTTCCGGGACGTCTTCCGGAGTCCCCGCGAAAAATGATGGTGGACCCTTCACCTGTTGCCCTCCTTTCGAGCCCCGGGCAAAGCTCTTCAATTTACCCAGATTTCCCTCCGAGCCGCCGAGCAGTGGCCATGTACGCAAGTTGCGGCTCCCCTGTTTTTGTTTTCTATTCATATCTGTTCTGTCGTGCTAAGGAAGAACGCCGTATGAACATTCGAGAGTTGCAAACATTTCTTCGATAAAACGTATATTTTTTAGGACAATTATGAATACTTTTCCTCGAAATTTTCAGTCACTTTAGATCAAATTACAAACAAAATAAGCTGAGAAATTGGTAGAAAAATATTCAAAAATTTTCCTGAAAATTGGTGATTTGCAAGAAGAACCC